TGGCAATCAAAGTCTGTTTCTTTCAAATAAAAACACTTAAAGTGATCACAGTAGTGCCTAATCAATTACAATCATCAGATTATAGTCAATCATTTGGTTGTTGAACATAAAGGGAACAGCTATTGGAAATAACTGAATACTTTAGGTCCCTTACAAAAAAAACAGACTATAATTGTTTGAAACAAACTTTTTATAGTAAAATTGATTATTGGAATATGCACTACATACTGTAACTTTGAGTTAATAATTATATTACACTGATACCATCCACAAAAATAATTCGTTCAGCATAGTTTTTTTATTCACATCTTATAGTATCTTGGCAGAGATTGTAAGTTAACTAAAGGAACACATACTCATTTACGTACCCAAGAATTCTTTTGAAGTTGCACATTGGATTTTCCAAGTGCTGGAAAATGATTTTCTAATGTATGACTAGTTATGTGTGTTCGAAAATCAGAACCACTTTTCAAAACTTGATTACAGGTTGCACAAATTTCTAGTCCTTTAATCTTGTTACCACTCTCCTTTTCGTGGACTTTGTATAGTTCCTGTTGCTTTACAATATCAGGTAGAAGGACCAGAAGTTCTGGGAATACACTCTCGAAAGCGGAATGACCCATTACTGCGCGACAGTGACTGTAATAATCTTCTGCATTGCACATTCCTTGGCGAAATAATCCACTTATATATCGGAACTCCTGTTGCATTTCATCTTGTTGCATTAAAACTTCATTGACCTTCGCCACAAGGCATTTGTTTCGTTTTTGAAAATCTGGAGCACGTACATAACTGTACACATCATTGTGCTTATTATCGTTTGGTAAAATAGAATAACTCTCTCCAGAACTATTTGTGAAAGTTAATCCATTGCTACTATTTATTTTATCCGTGCTATTATATTGTATACAAAAACCAGGAGGTGGTGGAGTCGTTGTTCCAAACCCAGGAGGTGGATTTGTAAAGCCTGGTGGTTTAGTACTGCTGGTGCCTAAAGCTGGAAAATTGTCTGAATGATGAACATTTCTGTTAGTAGAATTTAAACTATCTATTTTCAATTCGGTACGCTTTCTCTGGACTCCGTTTGAGGTATTATCAGTATTGGTATTTACAATCGTCTGGTTATCCGAATTTTTATGCTTTTTCTTTTCTTTCTTGCTAGTCTGTTCTATTTCTTTTGGTTGTTGTACATTCATATTTTTTGACGAGTTTTCACTATTAGCCACATTAACTGCACTTTGTGCAGATTGGGAACTTGATTGTATAGCATCTACATTACTTACATTATGTGAATTTTTAGATGTTTGAGCTATTTCACTCTCTTTTTTTACAACAACGGTATTTACATTTGTTTTCGAATTACCAGTATCATTGCCATTAGTACTAGGATTTTGTTTAACCTTTTTCTTTTTTGTTTTTCCTTTCATTAAATCAGTAGTTGTTTTCACATTATTACTATTATTAGAACTTTGCGGTTGACCCCAGGAAGGTACTACAGTAATTGTTGACTGCTTCTTTGATTTGGATGACTTTGATAACGTAGGAAAGTCTTCCCCAGATTGAATAGGTGGTGGGGAAGGTACCAACGGTGGTGACGCAACTTTTTTAGGTTTTGGAGCAGATGTTGATGCTGATTTAGAACATGTCCATTGCAAAACTTCCTTCCACTGAGCTGAATTACTATTACTATTACTAGTTGATGGTTCTGCATTACCTAATGCAGGGAAGTCGGACTCCATTGAAAGTTTTGCAGGTCGGATTCTAATATTAGGACCCGAAACTTTAGTAGTAACAGTTCCATTGGCATCGTGATTTACATGAATAGATACATTGGAAGTTGTACCCTTTTGAGATTGATTGTTCGGTCCCAAAGCATTACTACTGGATACACTGAAGTTAACAGTTTTCGAAATACTTGCAGATTCTAATCCCAGTGCTGGGAAATTTTCGTCTGTAACAGCTAAAGGCTGTGGTCGTATAGTGCTGCGAATTGTTACATTGCCTCTACCTTTACTTTGATTTACAGTAGGTACAATAGGTGTAGGTGCATTACCTAGTGTTGGAAATTCTTCAGTACTTTGCACATCTACGGATGGCTGCCTTACAAAAGTAGGTTCGTTGTTTGTTACAAAAACATTTGAACTGTTTGGCATTACTGTTTGTTGATATTCTCTGAGACTGTAATCTCTACTATTATAATCTCTCGAGTTTCTGGAAGTTGAAGGACCTACCATTCCTCTTCTATTCATTCGATTATCACCCCGTGGAGCTAGAGTAAATTCTAATTCCAATGTTCTTGCCTGCTTTGCAGCAGCTTTGCTCAACTGTTTACTATGTACATTTGCTTTATGCGCTTTAAGATCTATATCAGTTCGAAATGCACTTGTAAATTTTTCTTCAGAGCACATTCCTTCCTCACATAAGTAATGGTCTTGCCTGAAATGCTCTCTGAGATAGTCGTAAGAGCTGTAATACTGATGCAAACCATCTGTATCACAAAAGTGACAGTACAAATGATCACGTCTTAAGTGTCTAAATAACTCATCATTATCCATGTAACGTTGATCACAAAATTCACATAATGGGTGTCCTTTGTGGCTTTTGTCATCAATATCTCCTTTTCTTCTATGTTGTGCAAGATCAGGCCTTGTATAACAACGCCTCTCTTTGGAAAATATCTATTACATAAAAAGAAAGAACATTAAATATTGCAAAATATAATTCTAGTAATAGTTTTCAAATATAACTTAATTGATGTAAATGTACCTTTAAATTATCCACACATAGATCACAGTAGTGTAGCTCATGTCGATGTCTCATATGATCTTTCAAACTATTGAAATTATTAAACACAGGTTTTTCTTTACAAATGTTGCAATTGTTAGCCAATAGGTCATTAAATTTACTTTGAATATTAGATGAGTCAAAATAGATATTGTATCGCGAATCTACCAAATTGCCTTTTCTTAAATTGGAAAATGGTTTTATTTCTCTTGTGAATACTACTTTTGGTAAATCTTGACGACAAATGGGACACTCATTTTGACAGCAAAGTACTCTCATTCGAGTACTGCATTCGTAACACACAGGATGTTCACACATACCAATGCTATAAATATCAACATTTTTGTAACATACGACACAGGTGTTGGTATTCGTACTATCATTGCTGGCAGACATTGTTTTTATCAAAGTTCCCTGTCAAAAATAACAATTCCTCCTTTCTGTTTGCAGAATGTAATAAATTTATTATTTTCAATTGATATTCTATTTTCTGCTGATTCACAGATTTGGACGAATCGAATTATATTATCTTCTGTAAAACCCTGCACAATCTGTAACATAATTGACGTTTCAATATCGATATATTAACTCTTCAAAAAATGTAATTATAATTGTTACCAGCGAGTGCAACTCGCAGTTAAACGTTACACGGTTTCCGAGAATGAGTTTTATCTAAATTGGTAGGACATAACATGATCGCATAAAGTCTATTTAATATAATTTTTTTTTACTTAACTAGTATGATAGACGTGCAAGTCGTACAATATTCCACACTAGCTGAAACAACCCGGATAGAACGAAATTTTTTTATCAAAACGAATTGTTTATATTTTAGATAATAATAATGTATGATTACTATTTTACATATCACGAAGAGTTGCTTTGTAGAAATATAACAAATAATTAACAATACCGTCTGGAAAATCTTCTAGTAAGCAGATGGTAAAATTTCACAGGATGTCCCTGAAAGAAAAAGGTTATCACGATTTATATACTAGACTATGGTGTGTATAGCAGTGTATAGTTGGTTTGATGAATTCAGCTCGATGAGCAAGCAGGTTCCGGTTTCGTGTGTAACATGTTACATGCAGTCATTGCTAAATCAAAGAATAACTAGATGGACTAGTGATATGAATCTAGAGCGGCTTCAATTTTTACTTCCTACTGTTTTAAACATTTGAACAACGGCCAATTTTCATAAACTTTTTGAAAGAACCAAAACTCTTAATAAAAAAAGAAC